AGGAAGTGGGAACCCAAATGAAAGGAAGTGGGAGACAAGCCAGCCGGGAACCCGACCACAAGCACCCAGCCTGGGAGACAAATGAAAAGAACTGGGAGACAAATGAAAAGAAGTGGGAGACAAATGAAAGGAAGTGGGAGACAAGCCAGCCGCGAACCCGACCACAAGCACCGAGCTTGGGAGACAAATGAAAAGAAGTGGGAGACAAATGACAGGAAGTGGGAGACAAGCCGGCCGGGAACCCGACCAGACCATCCAGCACCAAGGCGACCATTCTTTAAAGCATTGAGAACCCCTAACAGTAAACTGTTTGGGGAAAAAGGACTAGCAAAAACGTCCTGTGCAAAGGGCTATCTCCAGTTGCTGGCTCGCCCTTATCCTTTCAACTCAAGGCCGTAGAGCAATGTGGACTCTTACGTTACGACTAAGACTAAGAAGCAGGCTTGCACGGCATCAATGAATGTATTGCGTACCTGACGAAGGCTGCCCAAATAGCCTACTGTAATTCTGCACCACGTCAAGTGTATCTTTGAGGTAATCACCACAAGGCTGATGGGCTCAAGCGACATTGCCACTGAACAAATTCTTGTTTGCGTTACACGTGGTCAAAGTTATCAGCAAATCCTTTTCAAATAAAAGACTTGACATAGTTGTGGGCAGGAAATGTTGAAGGAGATGTGACATGTGGATAACCCCGGTTTCTTTGATCGCACTAGATCTGTCAAGCTGTCTGCTGACCACTGACTTTCTTCCTTTAACTGCACAAGCATGTCAAAAACTCCTTCTACCACTTCTCCAACCTCATTCAACACATGATGGTATGGCCGAGGCCTTTAACTTGCGAGGAAGCTTGGGCATTCTCACAAGTCTCCAGTCTGCGGAAAGTGGTCCGCACGACACAAAAATCATCAGCCTTTTCCGGAGATACATTTGAAGCCGCGCGACAAAAAGATTTGGCTTCAGAGCTTCCCTGTCACTTCTTTCAAAGGAAAACATGAAGAAACAGTTGACTTTCAAGCCAATAGAATGGTGCTTGCCGTACTCACCCGGATAGGGAAGCTCGTGTCCTAAATTATCCTAATTTGACAAGCTATCTGAGAGTGCTGGTGTCGATAGAATAGATGATGTCTCCTTCATTGAGTGAGACCTGAAAAGACCCTGAGCATCTTCAGCACGGGCCCTTGGTACTGCGTGATGCGTGCTTTGAGCACCCGCATTGTGCGCATTAGCTTCAGACGGATGTTGGAAGACTTAAACAAGGGTATCCTGCACAAATCCTGCCGAATCATTTGCTTGATTCAAAGCAGTATAGTATCCTGTTCTGGCTGCAAACTCTTCACTTCACATTACAACAAGTACGAATTGGAATCGGTTTGAAGTTGTTAAGGTCAAAATGTTCCTTGCTTCCAAACAGCAGGTCTTTGCCTGCAGAAAGCAATCACTCTCAGCTGAGAGCTCATGCGGCAGAGGCAACATGCTGGGACGTTTCCCCGGGAGGATTGGTTGAGGACTCAGCCTGGGGGTTGTTCTGGCGCTGACGCTCCTGCCATCTTCGAAACATGGTTCCAAAAGTCTCTGCTTATTCCAAACGCCAAGCCTCCACACCCGGCTGGTTCCCATCCTCTCGATAAGCCTTGCCAAAATCGCGAGATTGAAAATATTTCAAAAAAAATATGATTATGGTATCTGAGCTTCTCCAGTACTTCCCCACTGCCTCTGAAATCCAGCGGATTCGGTTTCCATCCTTCGAAGACATCGTGCTGGACGGCACAAAGGTGCTTATGCAAAAGGAAGAAGACGTCTCGCCTTCCATTCTCCACGGCGAAAATCCCCTTTGGCAGTCTTGAAGACACCAATGCCATGTTGTTTCCCATCCTGGAGATGCTCATCATGACTCAAAATAACAAGTGTTGGCAATGGCTGCTTGCACCTTCCAGTCGCCCACATATTCTCGTCCGTCAGGCCAGGTAAACACACCATGCCCGTCCTAACTGGGATACAAAGTAAAAGCTCAAAGCTCCAATCAAAGCTCCAGTTTAAAGCGTGGCTGGGCCAACCTTCTTGTCTTGAAAATAGCCGCCAACGTACCTGATTTCTTTTCTCTAGGTCAAGTTTTCAAGAACATAACACTTGCTTTTGTGGTAAGGCGGCTTGGGCAAGCACTTCCTCCCATCTCGCCAAGTGAACGTTCCTGTCCCATTCATCCTGGAAAGAAAAGCAAGGGAAAGCACAAGAAATTGTCATCGAGCATTCCGCTCCTGTTGTTCGCCCACTGCCCTCTGTAGACGCGTCCATCATTCCAAAAGTACCTTCAAGGCACCGGCCAATGACATAAAGAACAAATAAGTTCAAAAACAATGCACAAAAGGCGCAAGTGCAGTCACTAAGTTTCTCTTGTGTCTCTCTTCTGAATGGTCCTGTCCATCACCGTGCGTCTCGGCTCACGTGCCCTGACCGTGGATCTCGTTGTTCTCAAACTCCCCTTCGTACCTGCAAGTTGTCATGTCTTCCTTCTCTTTTTATCTTCATTGTGCATTTGTGCTTTGTTCTATTTTTGGTCGGTAGTGTGGTAAGCAAGGCAAGCTACTACTAGCAACAAAGCTACCATGGACGCGGGAGGATTGGGGTTCAACGAAACTTCCCCGAAGAACCCTTCAAGAGGTCGATTCGTTTCACCTGTCTTTTGTCGGTTCTTCCTTTCCTTTACAAAGCTTAAAAAGCTCCAGTTTGGAAGCAAACTGTGGAGCACGAGGAACCCTCCGCCCAGGTAAAGGTCCCGTGTCCATGCTTCTTGCCGGCACGGTACCTGCTCCAGCTTCACCACAAAAGCATAAAATAACACATTATTCTATACCATTAATAATATACTGCATATATATATATTATATATATATATAGCAATGGCCTCCAACCTAATAGCTTCCAGCTTTGTTGCGGAAAAAGTGCTAAGATCGTGGCTGGCCCTCAAAGCGTGAATTGTCTGCCTCAGAAAACGGGCACTTGATGTTCTGGTTCGGGGGTAACATATCTTCGTCACCAGCTTGTGTTGGAATCAGAAGCTTCAGGAAAGACTGCTTAAGACACTGACCCATTCCTCTATGGCTTGTCCTTCTTTTTGGTCATCTCTCCACTGGCCAACATACCTGCAGTACAGCAGAAGTCATACTAGAAACCAAGAAAAGCTGCTACGCTTAGCCGCTAATGGCTAAGCCACCATAAAAAGGTATATTTTATCATGTTATATCTTTTCTCTGCATGTTTCTTGGCCTGGAACCATCAGCATGATGATACACACCTCGAAACAAGTAAGCTGATCATAAGGTCTTTAGACAAACACGACTCTCTGACTGGGCACCACACCCTCTCCATTTGCCTTGTCTCCCTTCCACTGTCCTTCATAAACATCACCTGGATGTCTTCATTGACTTCTCATTGTCAAAATAAACGATGAGAGCAACGAAAGCAACCCCACCGTCGGCATGCACGAACTTTCCAAAACCTTCGGCAAGGCCATTTCGCCAATTGCCTAGCGAAGCTTTGTTTCATTGCAAAAAAGTAAATACGCTGCCAGTAACAAGCATCCCAACCCTCGAATTGGGCTCCATCTGGCCACTCCTCGCAAAGGCAACTCAACCAAAGACCTCATCTCCTCCGTACTTACTGTTGATCCCCAGAAATCTGAAAGAAGATGTCAGAACTTCAAATTGGAAGAGGAAAGAACCCAAGACAAGATCCAAACAAGGAAACCTATAGCATCTTTAAGGAAAAATTACAGTATATGCAAAAGCAATAAAGCTCAAGCAATAGGAAACACAGAAACACACAGGCAGAAAAAAGAAAGGGTGGGGCCACCAGCATGGAGGGGGCTGATATTCGTTGTGTTTGATTGGCTTCTAGAGACAATCTCAGAACAGATGCAATGTAGGGCAGAGTGCGTGACCTCCCAAAACAATCCCACCAAGGATGCGGGTCTTCTTGGAAAGTTGGAGGGACACTGGACAATGCTTCACGCGATGTCCACCCCTTGCAAGACCCAGAGGCACTGACGCGCATGCTTTCAACGGATTGGACGAGCCAGAGAGATGTTGGCTTGAGACAGTCACCAACAGCTCATCCAATCTAAAGGAGATACATGTCCAAAAGGGAGCCTGACATGCAACGAAAGCAAGAGGAGCAGAAGAGGAGAAGGAAAGACATTACGCACAAGTAAGCTGTGGCAAAGGACTGATTCAGGTCACCAAAACGATGCCAAAACACTCTGGCAAATCCTGACGCAGAAAGAACAACCTCAACATCTAAATTGTGCTCCGAGGAAAAAGATGTTCTACAGCCTGTGGCTTTGCCACCCTTAACCTTGAGGATTATGTATTTATTCTGTGCCCACATACCAAAGTGCCCAGTCGTTTTTTTTATGCCCAGGACTACTACAGTAAATGACTAAGACTGTAAAATGTCTAGAAACTCGTCAGTCATCGAAAGGAGGCTGTCGCATGTCTCTTGGGCAGCTTCAGACTCATTCTACGTGCAGCAGTGCGTGAAGCTGCAGTGCAGTGAGTCTACAGCCAACAACAAGCACCCCAGTGCAAGTTGCCCATCGAAAGACAAGACAGCAAACTCGCTAGCATGATAGCTCCCTCACAAACGGGTGACCTCAGTCATGCTTGGTTTGTTTTATCCTTCAAGTCAAGTTTCAATAGATCCCGGAACCAATTGTTTGTTTCTTTTAAAGGGGGGGTAGGCCGCTAGTAGCTAGGGCGTCGCTAGTAGAGGATGTAGCTACTACCTGCAAGTAGCTACTACCAACACGACGCAGGATAGCTCACGCTTCTTCAAGGAAGCTCCCCCCGCCGCCCTGAAGGCCGCGAAAAAGCTTAAGAAGCGCTCGCATGATTCAGTTGCTTCCTAGATTTTTAGGGAAACTTTCTGTAAGGAATGGGACTTACTTCCTCCAAGAAGCCTAAGCCCTTCCGCCTGCAATACTTGTTAGCCGAAGCTACTCAAGCTGCTTGCCTACTCTCAACTTCTCTTCTATACTCCCTGCAGTACCCCCCACCTAACCCCTCCTTCGGCCCCCAAAAAGAGTCTTCCTGCTCCGTCCTTTGTCCCACCCGTCCTGGAGTCCATGACCATCTCTTAGGCCATTCTTCCATTGACCAGTGTACTTGATGCCATGCCTTCACATGCATTTCACCGTGGATAGCACAGGAATAGCACTATGAGAACGTCTACTTCAGCGTCTTCTAAGCTCACTTGTACCTTCTGCGGAGAATCTGCATCTTGAGATGATGCTATATGCCAACAAGCTACTCCACTACCACAGTGGGATGCTCTTCCCGCTCCTGCACGAAATGTTCTATGGGTGGAAAATCAGCAATCTTGCAAAGGAAACAGGCTTGCACCCATCTGCAGCCGACGAATTCTCCTCCGAGCTGCCAACGGGCTTGCTTGGCCTCACAACAAAAGCCTTCTCTCAAAGGATTCTTTTCTTGCAACGCTCTGTGCAAACAAATCACTCTGAGGACGGCGAAGGCTTTGTCGCACTCTTTGAGGATGTTCCTGCACCAATCGGTTCGAACAGCCCGAAGAATGGCAAAGCGAAGAAGTGGTGTCAGATATGCAAACCAACGCAAAGCAACAAGGCCATTGTAAGCGTTATGAACAACCTGTGTCTCCAAAATGGTCACAATGAGTCACATCCGCCTTTCTTTTCACGGACGCTACAATGTTGGGTTGTGACACAAGCGAGATCCTCATTTCAAGTTTTAAGGACTCCCTCCACCCGCTTCACTTGGTCTTTCGGAGAGGTACACGGCCTCAATCCACTGTTGCAGACCATGCAGTCTCCGTGCATGTCTATATGCATTTAGCCGCTACGCAAAGAATCCCATCCTCGGGGTCCGTGGAGAGTGGAGAAGCGTCCCTGGTTAAACAAGTGTTCAAGAGTCAAGACCTAAGCAACTACCACGATTTTTGGAAAACTAGATAACCTGGGGCATCCGTTATATAATTTATGTTCCCAGAGTCCAGGAAAACCGTTCTTCATTGGGCTCGATGCCTCAGCGCCTATTCCGCTGTCGTCAGTGTAGGCCTGGCAGCTTTGCAGCTGCGCCGTCAATATGAAACAAGTTGAGTTTGACAAGTCTTCCAGCTCAACTTGACAAGTCTTGTCTGACAAGTCTTATCAACAAGGTATATAAGCACATGCAAGCGGCCCTTGAATCAGGTCTCCTTTAAAGGCCTTGTTCAAGGAGCCCTTACCTTCCTTTCTTTCCTCTCTTCGCCGACAAGTCTTGACAAGTTGGCGTCGTCGCTTGAGAACCTGGAAGGCGACTCGCTGCCCAGGTGCCAAGGTTTGAATTCCATCAGCAAGGTCCTGGGGTTGACAACAAGACAGCGCAAACGACACTCTCGAAACCCTTGAAATCGAATCGTCGTGAGTCGTGCTACCCCTTTATTAATAGCAATGGCCTCCAACCTAAATTTGCCAGCTCACCTTCATGTGCACATAGATCTTGGAATTGTGTCGAGACTTAGAGCAATCCGCTGGCCGTGCAACACTTCATTTCCAAGCGAATCTGAGGTCACTGCTGCCAGAGGGTGATCAATCGGCTGTAGCGGCTTGATCCAGCCGAATTTTCCCTTAAAGAGAGTTGATTTCTGATAGTTCTGATGACTCTGATGATCTTCCAAGAGAGTTACAATGCAAGAAGACGGGGAAGCCTTCCACTCCAGTACGTCTCCTTGCAAAGCTTCTCCTCCGAAAAGAGGTTGTCGCGGCAATTCTGGGCCCTTGGTCTTGGAAATGACGCAGGATATCCAAAATTGTTTCCCTCGCAGAACTTGGTGTGAAACAGATTTGTAGCCCGTGCGTGGAGCCCAATCACCTGGAATTCGTGAAAAACGAAAAGAGTGCTCATATTGATGGGAAATCAAGCCTCCCCATTTTGCACCATTGACCTGCGCATCACTCAAGAATAGTATTGTGATTACTTTTACAATAGCATGCTACTTGGTGAATGGTGAACATAGTGAACATGGCATGGTAACTTGCCTTCTGTCCAGGGACTAGGGGTGAAGGAGGAGCTGTGCCCAAGGGTGGAATTGGTGTTGGCCTGCATGCGCAAGGGCATGGCGCTTGAGCACTTTCACTGTGCATTCCCACTTCACTTTGCTTCACTTGTTCTAAGGCATAGACGGCAAGCATGTAATACCTAGCGCCTGGACATGTCAAAAAACAGGATCTTCTCTGAGATTGTCTGCATGCTCGGAATGACATTTAAGTGACGCTGCACTTTTGAGCTGCGAAGGACACCGCTGTCCACGTAAATCGTCTGTCATCCAGCTTCGCAAAGACTAACTGAGTGTGATGTGTCCAACAAAGCCTCTCTCGGCTTGCAACATTTCCACTGACTTAGCAGGAATAAAACCAGCACAGTCGACATGATCACACTATCAGCTCGGAAGAGGAGTACACCACCATTCTCCATGTCCATGATCCAACCTCCAAGCACAGCGCCTAGGGCTGAACCAGCTGCAGCAACTGATGACATAAAGCCTTGAGCTGTTGAGATCATATGCATTGGCACATGTTCATTCAAGTAGTGCACTGTGGCCAGTGTAAAGCAGCTGTATGTCACACCATGCAAAGGTTCCAGAAAAAGCATCCACCCGGCACTTGGTACAATTGTGTAGCCCAAGACTCGAACCACAAAGCTGCCCATTGCTATAGCAATTAGTATGGTCGGCCCGAGCCGTGGAAGGAGCTTTTCACTAAAGGCGAAGATTGGAATCTCAAACAAGACCGTAATGGTCACGCTGAAACCCATCAAAATATCTGAAGAATGAAAGCGCTCTTCCATGTACAAGAACAAAAACTGAGAGACGTGTTGCATACCCATGGCTTGGGTGGCAGCACACAACAGCCAAGTAATCATGTCTGGTCGTGAACAAACAATTTTCATAACTTCCAGCACTGAAGCTCGAGGCGCTTGCGCCGATTCCGTCTGACTGGAGTTGGCAGCCGAATCACCCTCAAAACCTAACGCTGCACCTCCTTCGTCTGTCCACTTAGAGCGCAGAAGCAAGCTGAAGGAGGCTACTGCAAGCGATGCGGCCACGGCATTTCCAATGAACAAAAGTTCGAGGTGGCCATGCTCCACATCCAAAAGATATCCCAAGGTTGGATGGGCAATTCCCCATGAGACTGCTCCCCAAAGACGAAGATTTCCGAAGGCGGCAGGACGGTTGAAGCGTTCCAGTGTTCTCATCGCAATCCCTTTCAGTTGCCCATAGTCGTTGCCACGGGCCATGGTATACATGACCATCATGGTGCAACAATAGACAAACCGGCCCGTGTGGCTCTGAATCTTGGGTGCTAAGCACAAAAGAGTTTGAAACACCGCCGCCATACCCAGACAACAGGCCAATACCAACTTCCGCCGACCTGTACGGTCAGCCACTACACCCCAAAAGGATGATGCCGGGATGCTGGCCAGGATTCCAAGCAATCCCATCGTGCCAATTTCACCAGCATTTAGCCCATAGCCAGTATATATCAAAACGGAAAAGCGAGCAAAAAAACTATAGTACAGGAAAAGGAAGAAGTAGCTCACAGAGATTGCAAAAAATGCTGGTCGATGATCCCCCACGTCTGCGGCCATGGCGAGAGCGAAGCTGCTCTGAGCTTAAGCGCTCACCTACACACCTTGTGTGTGTAAGCTACAGTACGTGAATACTGTGCAGCAAAAGCAGCTGGAGCACAAATGCCATTGTGCAGACTTGCTCAAGAGGGAAACAAATGAAGCATTGTTGAATCGGTGCTCAAGAATTACTCAAACTTTGTCTCTAGAACTTCAGGTAAGAAACTGACAAGCGCAAGGAAATCATACATGTCGTACCGGCCTGAGTAAATGTCATACATTGTACCTTTTCTAGTTCCGAGCTCTGAAAATCATTGGGAAAATGCTCCATGCTCCAGCTATTCAAGGGAAAGTGGTCGTACAGGAATTTCAAGATACTCTTACTGTACAATCAATCATAAACTAAAAAGGAAGGTGCTGAAAAACCTGGCGCTTCTTACAGCGAGCGCACTTATAACTTGTACAGTATTCTACTGTGCATGTGGAAGCGCAGTATATCTTGCTATGAGTGCCAGACAGATATGATCTTTCGGAACTCGCAGCAAGTGCTTTGATCTCAAGCGCACACGGCCCAGGTCCCTCCTGGCCTGGAGCTTCAAAACAGATTTCCCACGTGCGAATAGGTCGGGACGTGCAGCAAGGACCTGCAGTCTGGGCTCATCCCTTTCAATACTTCTTGAAAGAATTACAGACCTGACCTAAGTCCTTCTAAAATGAATCTGAAGTTTCGGCTTTACTCCTTTATTTAGAACTCAGACCTTGTTTTATCGTTTTTTCCTTTTACTGCCTTCCTTTCTACCTTTATTCATTTCTCCTACAGCCTCGAAAGAGAGTTGGAAAATAGACCTTGTTAGCCCGAATTCATCGATTCTGTTGTGCCTCGTCCATCTTGGACTTTGGCAGCATGAGTTCTGCCCAGGTTGCTTGTACTGCTGGATCCTGAAGCGAGCAGCATGCAACTATCATGCGTCGTTGCTTAGGGTGACGTGCCTGCTGAAACTGCCACGTCTGGCTGCTGCAGTCAGGCCGGCAAGCCAAATGTGCAATGGCTGCATGGAAGAAGCCTGGAAACAAAGCAAACGACTGACAGACCAAGAGCACATGGAGTCCCATCTGAGACCAAGACGGGTAAAGTCTAAATTACTACCAGGAATCGACATGGCAAGTCGACATGGGCTGATGTGCTGAGCGCACCGAGACTATGATGCTGATTGGATGTGCCTGTATGCCTCACAAAAAGCAAGTGGATGAACCAAGAGCCCATCACTTGCAAAGCGCATGAAAAAAGTCTAAAAAGGGGAAGAAAGAGCATCTATTTTTTTTCAGAAGTGACTTTGTTGGCTCGAGGAAGCTGCATGTCGCACTCTAGGCAGGATCTGTGCATATTGCAGCCGAACTTGAACCAAAGACAGGCAGCAAGAAGGGACGATGTGATCTAGTGAATTGGCTACTTACTATTCAAATGGTATGTGCTAGCTGCAGAATTGCCTTGGCAAGGGAATTTGAATCATTTGAAGGACTTTGAACAATCAAACGATTCAATCTAACAACATAGCTTCACTCCAAGTTCTCCTTGACGTCCTGGAAAAGGCTCCACATCCTGTTGATGTTGGTCAGCCTGGCATATGGGGCTTACTGACGCTCCACAGTCTGGAGGACATGCGTGTAAGTTGCCTGCTCTGCGTGCACACAGAGGCAATGACCCATCAAAGCTTCTACCTTCCACAGGGTCAAGTGCACCAACCGAACTGATCAAATAAAGCGATAGTAGAAAGGTCCCAAGAAGCTACTAGTAACAAGGGCATCGCTACTTGGCATCGCTACTAGTAACAAGCTACATGTATCAAAGGCGAGAACGCAAGGAACGACGACTCATCCAAATGCCTGAACTCAGCTCCTGACCCCTTACACAGCTGGCTCTCTCTCTGCTCACACGCCCTCATCTACCTATGATATGTGTTCTTGCACTGAGCCCAAGCGACAAAATGCTGGTTCTTTTCTGTTGCGCGATTAATGTTTGCTGCACAAAGCTGTTCATGTCATTGAACCTGTCAATCCCGGTTTAAAGGAAGAAAGGGCCGAACGCTAGGGATCAAAGCCAAGCTGTGTGGGACCTGAACACCGCTCCACCTTTGTTCCCTCCTTGTGTTCTGCTAAGACGCTAAGAATATGCTGCATTGGGCAACCGCCCAAATGTCTAGATTCCCCCTTCATGCCATCGAATCATAATGGAAATCAAATCGACGCTTCTTTTCAACTTCAGGGTGGGCGCCTGACACCTGGGCAATTCTTCGCCCAGCGAATCATGATTCCGACCCGCACCTTGCAGAAGTCCCAACCTCGCAGGCCTTTCTGGCCTTTTGAGAGAATGGTCCAGGCAGAACGAGTGAAGTTTCCTACGCCGAAGGCTTTCATCAAGGCAGGAGGCATCTTGGAGACGTCCTCAAAGACGGGCGGTCCAAGATCATCCTGCTTTTGATTCATCCAATTCCAGCGATGGCGTCTCGCCTCACCGTTTTCAGTAATGCTGGCAGTGGGATCAGCAGCTCCGAAATGGCCATTGAACATTTGCTCAAGGACAAAGCGAGATGTATGCCCAATGCCCCACATGGACATAATTTCCTTGCAGGCATGCACATTGAAAATAGAATTATAGAAAAAATGGAAAGCAAAATCGATTAGGAAGGACTTGTTCACCTTCTCAAGTCATCTCAAATCCAAGACTCTTTCAGGCGAGTGCGCCTTGCAGACTTCTGCTGTGCGTCCTTCGGTTCATCCATCATGCTCCATACCTCCGCATAGAGTTTGCGAGTCTCATCATCCAAGCTGTAGTACCCCCCATGATCAATGACCACCACCTGGGACCAAGTGGAAAGGCGGTGCACAGTCTGACAGCTGCAAAACCCTGGCTGTCGCAGCTTTCACAAGTTTGTCTAACACCCTTTGGCTTCGAACACTTTGCTGGCCTGAAAGGGGCTTTTGCCTGGAATTGTGTGTGGGCTCCGGCGTACCAAAACATTGCCAGGATGAGGGTCTCCATGAAACTTGCCTTGACAAGGAAAATGTTGGAAGAAGACAGAGACGGGCGAACTTGCACTGCAACTACAGTATGGTCTGCTACAGCAACCAAGCATCCAGTCAAAAAGAGCTGCATAGCGTGCCAGGTTTCCTGAGAGGTCAAAACGAGCGCATCAAGACAACATGTTTGCATTCCCGAATCACTGTACTAGGTTCACAGCTGTAAATTGTGTTTGTATAAGCCACCCAAGTCGGAATCTAAGCTGTCCAAGTTGCAAGGGCTTCATGAATAGCTGGTACATCTCTGCCGTAATCCCAGTCAGGGAAGTGTTCCGGAGCTTTTGTGATTTTGCAGCCATCAATGAACTCCATCACCAGCAAACGCTTGGAACCTTTGTGCAGAATGATGTCATGAGTCAAGATGCTACACTTGACTCGAAGAGGGCTCACAGCTTTGCCACGGAGCAAAGCTCTGCATGAAGAGCTGGCACGGCCACTCTCTGCAGCTCATGTTTCGACTTCACAAACCTGCCCAGCCACAGAGAAAACCTGTGGAAACAACGCACAGCCTGTGCGACTCTTGTTTCTCCAGCACAGCCTTTCGCACTCCTCCTGCAAATCTGCCTCCCATCGGAAGTCGAGTTCCTGGCGCGTGTGCACAATATTGTACACCACTGAAGACTCAAAGAGTGCAATCTCATAAAACAACAATTTTTGAAGATCGCAAGACCTCAAGGGGTGTCCAGAAACAGATTGAGTCAAAAAGGAAACATCAAGAGGTGTGTTAGGTCGAACCTTCTTCAGCTCTTCCATGGCCCACTCCATCATCCACTTCACTGGCGTTCCTGGCCGCTGGTGTCCAAACAGGTACCACCAACAATCGATATGCCTTTTTGTTTGAACTTGGGGCGGGTAAACGGGTTGGGGTAGCTAGCAACCGGAATAGTTTTAACTCAAACGCAGAAGGGAGGGTTCTTCCAGGAAGTTCGGTAAGAAACAGGGCCTGTCGCAGCTTCGTACATTCCAAGCAAGCCCAAGTAGTCGCTCACGTCTCGATCAAACGTTTGGGCCAGACTCCTTCTCAGAATCCTAGGTGAGAGAGTGGTCTGCAAACCAGGACAAAAGCAAAAACATGCAATGCAAACATTGTTTTCTAAAGAATGCAGGAAAAATTCGGGACAACATAAGGCAACAAAGAAAAACACTAGCTGTTGCTCAATGCATCTCAAACACTTCACAGCAACCTTTTGCCCATTTTTCCTCGTAGCTACATGCACTTGGGCCATGGAAGCAGCATTGATTGGTTCCTCAGAGAACGAATCGTAGATTGTGCTGATTCCACCCGGTGTATGCTTGGCGACTCTATGTTCAATTTCACTCCACTGTTGAGCGTCTGCAGAATCTTGCAATGCTTGAAACTCCTCAAGAACTTCCTTTGGAAATGCGTAGTCCATTGAAGAGGCGGTTTGGGCAGCTTTGACATAGATACCCCCTTTGCTTCGACATAAGCTCGCAATTTGCCGGCCAGCAACCATGGGATCGCTGCTCATTGAAATGGACAAACCAATGTATGCAACACTGGCCCATGTGCTCATTGATCTGCCCAAGCTTGACAAAACCCCAAGAGCCTCATCAGCCGAGTCCTCGCCCCCGTCGGCTCCCTCCAACCACCTTTGCTTCCTCGCTTGTTCCCTCGCTTCCACGGACCCGGAAACAAGTCCTTGCAGCTGCAACTGTTTTTCTGCCTCAAGTTCGGCATTCATTTCTTGAATTATTTGTTCTTTTTGTTTTTCTTTTTCTTCAAATGTAGCTCCATGGCCAACACCTGGCTGAGTTTCAGTGCCCTCTTCTTGCGAGGAGTCTAAAGCTTCGCCAACAGATTGCTGGGAAGCTATCTCCGCAGCCAAGAGCTCTGGTGACAATGCTAAAACCTCACCAACATTTGGGGGTTCTTTATCCTCACCAGCTTGCTGTTCTGGTTCTTGCTGATTCTGAGCACTTTCATATCCTCCACTCATCTTTCCATCCTGTGGTTTTTCTAGGCTATTGGACACCTCGGTATTTTGAAGTTGCCTGTCCTTGGACACTTCGTTCGCACTCAAATAGAATAAGTACTGCGAATTTTGGTGCATTCGAAGCAAACTCCCAAGCAATTCATCAGCTGCAACATCTCCAATCTTCATTCGGCAAGACTTTCCAGCTGCGATATCTTTGGCGGCCACATCGTCCACAGAGTTGCAAGGAAGTGTTGTTCCATGTCTTGTGTCACCGTCAACACGCGGGACATCCAACTGATCAAAATCGAACATTACAGTGAAAAACACACTGATACAATTCGAGCCAAAAACTCCGAAAATCCAGATCCAAACAATGTGTTCTTGGTGAGCTTGTGGAACTGTTTTGTTTCAACATTTCCACACACTTGTTGTGAATGTAATTGTGGCCAAACAGTCACATGCTGGAAAAACACGTTCAATGATTTGGAGGTTTGCAAGTTGTTTCACAAACGCGTGCTGGCTCGGAACTCGGAACAGTCAACAATGCTGGGAAAGGGCTTTGTTTGTGAGCAGAAAACAATGTTGGCAATGCACGCCAGCTGCTTGTCAAAAAACAACCAACCAAATGGCAAATCACCAACAAAAATCAAACATGGGCATGCACTCGGAAACAACAACAGATTTTTGAAGGTGAACATCAAAGGTTTTGGACATGCCAAGCTCAAATAAAACCTGCCAAAAAAAAATTGTAAGTCGAATCGATCAACAATCCAAGAAACGTTCACTGGCAGATTGGCGTGTCTCCTGCTTTGACCGAGACTCGGCCAACAACTGCAACCAACATGTTTGAACTTGCACAGGGGAAACAATCAGCCCCAATCATTAAACTTGGGCCAGTTGCGGTTGCAACATTTGACCCGCACCGTTCTTTGGTCCACTTCCCACCCACAGTGATGATTCAAACATGACTGGCATTGCACGCGTTGCACGTGAGACTCCAAATCCACTTGTCACGCAATCAAAACACAAGCGCTGTGGAAAGGCACACGAAAAAAAAGTTTCAGAGCATGGTGAGCTTGAGAACCCGCAGGCAAACCAGGAGCAATTCGATTTTGCTGAGGGTTTGATGAAATCTGCGTGCGGGATGGTTCAAAAGTTCAAACTGTTGCAGGCACGTCACGGTGATTCTTGTGAACGTCAGAGCAATCAGAATCCTTGTCCATTCCACGACCTGATCTTTACTCAGCGCTCTGGTGTGAACTTGGCTGTGAAATCGGAATTTTTGGCACACGTGGGGCTGCTGTTATCGCAGAAATGCGAAGGTCCGGTAGAGAAAGATTTCCTGAGTTTCACACGCTGACGATGAAAAAGCAAGGAAATTGTCAGCGACACTCAAGGTGCGAGGACCAGCACATCGACAAGCGACCTTATGCCAATTCTGGCCCACTGTAGCGACCGGATTTTTTCGCAGGGTGTTCGCCGCGTGTTGGCGCAGGTTAGGAAGAGGAAGAAAGGTGAGATGCATGAGGTGTCAGAGGAGACATTAGCAGAAGAGTGGTGGGACGACAGCTGGACACAAGGTTCCAGCTGCGAATGATTCGGGATTGTGATGTTGTCGGTCGCGGTGAGCGTGCAGTTGGAAGTTCTTGACAATAAAGGCAGGTTGAAGTCCATTTCAGGTCCAGATTGAAACCCATGTCGGCAGACAGCACAACATTCTGAGCACTGGAGCAACATTTCATGTGCAAGCCGTTTCCACACTCAGTTGGAGTCGAGCTATCGACAGCTGAGGACCGTGGAGAAATGGTGTAGGACAGGCGTTGGAATCTGTTTTTCCATGGAAGGAGAAAAAAATTCAGAGCAGGAAGGAGCCATTGCAACGAAGCATCAGTTCAAATCGAAGTAAATTTTTGCATCCAAGACCGAGTTCGAATTCCAATCATGACAATTGGTTGGCTGGTTGTCTGCATGCGGTCCCTAGGCACCTCGATGTCCTTCAAGGCCTTTGGTTTCCTCACATTCAGAAAAGCATTCGAACGCCTTGCCTTCCATTTCCAGGGTCAGAAGGTTAAATCGTCAGTTTTTCGTCCGATGTTTTCAAGCCTCTTGGACAAGTCTTGTGTCTGAGAATGTCGCGAACTACCTGGGGTCTCTGGCGTGTGAAAACTACAGAAATCTCGTCCAGGTCGATCTCTCCACCACATCGATCAAGGTCATTTAATGAACGTACCTTCTCGCATTGTGGGAGTCTGAAACACATTTGGCTTCCGGACACGTTGCGGAAAATTCACACGGAGGCTTTTGCTCACTGTGAGGCCCTCGAAGTGGTGGACATCCCACCAGCGCTCAGGTACATCGCGCATAGGGCCTTTGCCGACTGTAGTCAGCCAATACACTTTAATCTCCAGCATGTAAAAAAACAACTTGGAGAGGACCTTGTGCAGAAAGCAACACGTTCGACTTATGCTGTTCCTTTGGAATTTTGAAGCGGATCAACCTCCTTCCGCCCGATGGAGAAGACCCCTATGGTTGTCCCTCCGGCACATCGGAACCGAAAAAAGAAGGGGATGTTTTTTTGAGAATGCACAGGTCACCAAAAAATGGGGAGGTGATTGGAGCTGCTCTCCACAGGGTAAGGCATCCTTTCCACCCGCCGGACTGCTGTGTTGATTCATGTTCTTTTTTGCACAGGTGGAGCCGCCGTTTATGCAGGAAATGCACAGGTCAGCTTGCGCTGCTTTTTTGAAAAGGTCTCTTGCATGAAAGTGCCAAACAACGAAAAACCACACAAACCCAAACCAACCCAAAAACAACAAACAACAAACAACCAAAGAAGCGAGCAGGAAACTCTTGAGCATACATGCAGGGTGACACCGGTGTGAGACATGGGTCGGGCGATGAATTAGCGCAAAAAGGCTGCATGAAGCTGTTGACACCATTCCTGACTTGGTGAATAGGTCTGGATGAGTTGACCACATTTTAGGTGAGAGAAGCAGATGATCTTCATGCCCAGGATATTGCTCTGTGTTTGCAATGCGTGGGCAATCAGATCAGATCAGCCTGACTGGCCAGTCAGGCGGTATGGTTGATGTGTTGAGTGCTTATTGCTCATATTTCATGACTCTGGAAAACCACTGATGATCAATCGGCTTTGACGCGCCAAACGAAAGCGCCATTGTCAGCAGTGCGGCCTATCGAAAGCTGTTCAGGAAACTTGACGGTCACTGAGATGGAGGTGGCTGCAATCAATGAAATCTCGCAGCCAGGGAGGAAGCCGAGTTGTTCAAGTGGCTTGGAAGTGTTCGTGGTTCTGTGTCCAACACCATTCCAAGGATTCGCAAGTGGAAGGATAGCGTCTTGAGGTGGTTCGGGATGAAGACAATTCAGAGATCATCCACCGCCAAGGCCAAGTCAGCGACCCGGAAGGCCATTCGCCAGACCAAGGGTTGGCGCAGAGCAACTCAGACACCGTAAAGGCCATGTTCCGGAAGCCGGAGGAGGAGAAGGAGGAAACGAGCAAAGAGTCGATCTGGAAGAGAAAGGATACCAAGGCAAAAGCTCGTCCAGGTGGTAAGAGGAAGACCACCACCGATGTGCCGCACCAGGAGGAGGAGCAAGAGCCACACGGCCGTGACGCTGCTACGTCGAGTCCGAAGTCAAGTCAAGTCAAGTCGCAAAATAGCTAGTTAGACATAAAGACCGAGCCTCCTATCTCAGTATCGCTGACATGACCAATAACTCGGGATAAGCTAACAAGGCGATGACCTTAGTCTTTGCCTGAGTCCTTTTCTATCATACTGCATGCATTCATCGTGCCGCCATAAAGTCTTGGTTCAAGTTGTGGCAAGACATAGTATCATATGATCTGCAATGGCGATAGCGCAACTCCACGAATTAGGCACTCCACGGGAGGCAAAAGAAGATGTGTCCTGCTTACTATCGCTGATCACTATAGCAGGGAACATAATCCATATGCCAATCGACATTGCACAGTATAGTTGTTTTGATGAACTTGAGGACGACGTCGTTGACTACTTGCCTACTGTAACTGCATTAGACACTTTCGGTTGTGAAGTGGATCTTGTCGATCCGGACACCCAGCAGCCCCTTCGTGGGCCAGTACAGGACGTGTTAAAAGCACAAACACGTTTCCATCTTGTAGTTCGTCCATGCATGTGGGTCACAGCAAATGGCACTTCCAGAGAAATGACAGTCAAAGATGGCCGAAGGCCGTGCTGGTCCCCACCAATGACGCGGGAGCCATCTCGGATAACGCATTTCATTCTGTCCCAATTCTACGGCACCTCTCTGTGGCAGAACGACCTCACACCATTGGTGCTGCAGTATGGCAGAGTTGTCACCAACTCCAGGTTGTCAAGCTTCCTGAGACAGTAGTATGCATTGAGCGAGCAGTTTTTCTCGCAGTGCTTTCCGCATATGGTCCCCTCCATGGCCTGGTTGCCAGGCAGGAGTGTGAGATGCGTTGCAGTCAAAAAAGGCCTTGTGCCCAACATAACGCAAGGTGGGGGAATGTCCACTTTGAGGCTTCCTTACGGATATTCTGTAAAACTGCTGAGAGGCAACACGTTTTGCAGACTCACACAGTTGGCAAACCGATTGCTGTTTTCGAGAGGTCAACCGCAATGAGGATTTGCAGTGTTCACAGGCCAGTCTTCCTAGGAACGTAGTTTCTGGGGGGAGGGAGGCCTTTGGAGCCCTGAGAAACAAAACCCTTGCATCGGCTTGAGCGGCGTGGAGGGCTTTCGCCCTGAACTCCTTGGGGGGCAATGTGATTTGTGACAACATTGGGCAGTTCTCGAAAAGGTGTGAGGACCGTCGTCCTGAGTACCAATGTATTGAAGTGAGCAACATTCAGCAACACTTGGGCGCAATGACCTTGACAAATGAGCTTTGAGTTGCGCAGTGTCACAGTTCCAAGTTGGCTGCACCTGCTCACAGAGGTCGCGATGTGTTTTTTTGCATGGGTGGAGACGCCATGTGTGCAGAAATTGCACAGGTCATCTTGTGCTGCGTATAAGTGAGTTACAGGCCAGGAAGAATGAAAACAGACAACCGAACAGAAAACAAACACCCAACCAACCCAAACCAAAAAAGACCCAACAAAACACAACACACCAAGGAACAGGCAAACTTCCTGGCATCAAGCAACTCATATTGGTCACGCAAAGGTGAGACAAGAGATGAAGAGTGAAACTGGGGCAGCGAATTAGCAAAAGGCCTCTCAGTACATCAGGGTAATAATCAGTCGAAAGCCAGTCTTGCATTGTGTTATGGTGCCGTAGCGCTTTTGAAGCAGCGCTAGGCACGCGGCCTTTTGTCCAAGCTGAACTG